CGGGAGCTCCTGCGGCCACAATACTGGGTGCTCTGCCTGGCTTTTAGGTAGTGTTTGTTCCCCTTAGTCTCAGACACCTTCCCTCCAAATTGGATCTCCTGGCGGATTTCAGAGTGGTTTAAAACCGCGAACCAAGTTGTCCGAGAACCGGACGGTCACCTAATGCCGAAAACAGTTCCATAACATTCGTGGCTAAGTCCCCCAGAGGTGACCGGGAACCCACGAAGTTCTCATGCCCAAATTAGTTTCATAGTGGTCGCGGCTGAGGACTATTCGTGGGTTTGTTTCTTGCGAACGGCTGCCAGAGAGCTAGCGTTCGGTTCCAATCACATGAAGGGAAAGTGTTGAACCAGGGGCACCCAGGGAAAGCTGCTAAAGGCGGTTCGGCAGGGTAACTCCCAAACAGTGTCCCAGACCTGGACCATAGTCAGTGGGCAGGAGGCCGGCTTCCACACCCCTCGAGGAGTCTGTGGCAAATATTTGTAGGAAGGAGCGTTTGTCACACCTCTTTTATAGGTTTAGAAAGAAGGGGTACCTCCATATCCTTTGGGCTGCCTTTAGGAGTGTTCCAGCCAAAGAGGAACCAGTCCCTGGGTAAGCTAGGCATGACCTTTTAGGAAATGTCCGATAGGAAGGGAGCCAAGCCTGCCTTCTAAATTATTAGGGAACTATTAGAGAGCAGTTCTAGCCGTTCTCTGTGTCAGAGGTTCATTATGATATTTAATTGAATATAGTGATATAAATACTGTGCACCACTAACTAGAACTTTCAGAACTTCTTATTGATCTAAATCAATTTTCATTTTGTATTAATAAACTTGTTATAGCAAAGGCTATGCCTCTCGGACACCTATGGGATGGCTCCAGCGTGTGTTTATTTTTTATTTTATTCACCTTCTATGATATTGAATTGTTTCAACATTATCTTTGATGTCCAGTGTCCTCTAGCCCAAAGCATGGATTTTGTTAGATATAGTTTGAGAGTATTTAATCAATTTCTCTCATCAGGTAATTTTCACTGAAGAAATCCCAGTGAGTAGAGTTGAGCGAACCCGGACTGTAAAGTCCGGGTTCGTACCGAACATTACGGTATTTGGACCCCGGACCTGAACACGGACATATCACTGTATGTTCGGGTTGGAGTTCGGTGTTTGGCGATTTAATGGCACGTTTTGAAAGGCTGCATGGCAGCCAATCAACAAGCGTTTGACTCGTGTGCCCTAAGAAGCCATCACAGCCATGCCTACTTATGGCATGGCTGTGATTGGCCAGTGCAGCATATGACCCAGCCTCTATATATAAGCTGGAGTCGCGTAGAAAATTAGGTCTTATTAGTGTAGGGAGAGAATGCTGCAGCTGTGAGGGACAGCTTAGGAAAGAATTCTGCAAACTAGTACATTAGTGGGGTGCAAGTCATATCTGAGAGTCAAATAGAAGCTTCAAATACCGCGGTTACATTGGAGTTTTAAAAAGTCTATTTTTTTTTTGGGTGCTAAATAGTACATTAGTGGGATAGTACATTAGTGGGGTGCACTTCATATCTGAGAGTCAAATAGAATCGTCAAATACTGCTGTCACATTGCAGTTTTAAAACTGAAAATGTTTTGGGTGCTAAACTGCTAAATAGTATTTTAGTGGGGTGCACTTCATATCTGAGAGTCAAATAGAAGCGTCTAATAGTACGCTTATTGCGCAGTTGTAAACATTCTAATTGTTTTGCTGCTAAACTGCTAAATAGTACATTTGCGGCTTGCACTTCATATCTGAGAGTCAAATAGAAGCGTTTAACCCCTTAAGGACGGAGCCAAATGTACACGTTGAACAAAACAAAATGTAAACAAAACCTGGCATTTGCGCTACATGTCTGTCCAACCGTAATTCATCTCTTTCATAGTAAATGCACCCACCCTTATTATATATCATTTTATTCAGGGGAAACAGGGCTTTCATTTAATATCAAATATTTAGCTATGAAACATAATTTAATATGAAAAAAATGGGAGAAAATACGATTTATTTTTTATTTCTTTAGTTCTACATGACATTTTAAATGTCAATATCATAGTACTGTTTGCTTTTACTGCAATAAAATACACATATTTGTATTCAGCAAAGTCTCACGTGTAAGACAGTACCCCCTGTGTACAGGTTTTATGGCGTTTTGGGAAGTTACAGGGTCAAATATAGCACGTTACATTTGAAATTGAAATTCGCCAGATTGGTTACGTTGCCTTTGAGACTGTATAGTAGCCCAGGAATGAAATTTACACCCATAACGGCATACCATTTGCAATAGTAGACAACCCAAGGTATTGCAAATGGGGTATGTCCAGTCTTTTTCAGTAGCCATTTGGTCACAAACACTGGCCAAAGTTAGCGTTAGTATTTGTTTGTGTGTGAAAAATGCAAAAACCGCCAATTTTGGCCAGTGTTTGTGACTAAGTGGCTACTAAAAAAGACTGGACATACCCAGTTTGCAATACCTTGGGTTGTCTACTATTGCAAATGGTATGCCATCATAGGGGTAATTTTCAATCTTGGGCTACCATAGGGTCTCAAAGGCAACCTAACCACTCTGGCGAATTTTAATGTGAAAAAAATGAAACGCAAGCCTTATATTTGATGCTGTAACTTTTGAAAACACCATAAAAGCTGTACATGAGGGGTACTGTTGTACTCGGGAGACTTCGCTGAACACAAATATTTGTGTTTCAAAACAGTAAAAAGTATTGCAACAATAATATCGTCCGTGTAAGTGCTGTTTGTGCATGAAAAATGCAAAAAACTTCACTTTTACTGGCGATATCATCGTTTTAATACATTTTACTGTTTTGAAACACTAATATTTGTGTTCAGCGAAATCTCCTGAGTAATACAGTACCCCCCATTTACAGGTTTTATGGTGTCTTGGAAAGTTATAGGGTTAAATATAGTGCTAGCAAATTAAATTCCCTTTACTTTTGGCATGGGTTGTCAGGCAGGTCCCGCTAATTGTAATTAATTAAGATACCTAATTATGTAAAAATATTACATAAATATATATGTAGAATTAATATATGTATATATATACGTATGTGTATATATATGTATATATCTATATCATTTAAAAAAAAAAATTTTTATTTATATATAGGTATATATATAGTGATATATACGTGTATATTTATGTATATAGATATATACATTATTTCGTTCTACGTGTATTTTGATATATATATATGTATATATATATATATATATTAATTTCACAATACAGTTAGAACGAAATAACACACATCTATATATTTTTAAAATATTTATTTTTAATTATTTTTTTAATTTTATTTTTTAACGTATTTACATTTTTTTTATATTATATATAAATATATATATATATAAAACAATAATTATATATATATTTAATCAGTATCAGTCTACGTGTAATTTGATATTAATATATATATAATTATATATATATTAATAGTAAAATACACCTAGACAGTGTATGTGTGTGTATGTATATGTGTATATATATACTTAGATCATATATATATGATCTAAGTATATATTATTTTATTTTTTTACACTTTTTAATTTATTTGATTTTATTTCCAGCCAGCAGGGGGACCACCTGTCATTACAGGCAGCCCCCCTGCTGGCAATGCTGCAGCCAGCTACCCCCGGCCATGTGATTGTGGGGTCCTCGCAAGGACCTCACTCTCACATGGCCGGGGGGCTTCCAGGGGGTCGGACGTGCCGCGGGGGGCTCCCTGGGAGTCCCCCCAACCGCGTTTGCCGGCGTGGGATCGCCAGCGACTGGGTAAGTAGGAAAAGACCACACCTACAACACTTGTTACACAGATATAAGTGATAGAAAACAGATTTATATTTTCTACACTAGAAACTACCAGATAACAAGCTGCTATATTTAAACCAGTTATCAATAGCTAAGAGGTACTTAAACAATATTGTAATTCTGTGGCAATACCCTCACAAGTCAAACTGAGAGGTCGGTTTATAGGGAAAACTGTTGCCTGGATACAATTCTAAAACAATTTCCATATGTCCTTTGCAGACTTTACATGCTGGAAAAACACAGGTGCCAACTGCTGTGGCTTTCTGCAGTGTGCATACCGGCAAGGAGGGCAGGGTTGAGGAGTGGGTGGAAGATGATGTGGAGGATGATGAGGTCCTAGACCCCACATGGAATCAAGGTCATGCAAGTGACATGTGCAGTTTGGAGAAAGAGGCGCTGGTCGCACAGCATAAGAGGCAGCAGGGTGCAAAAGTGGAGCGGCCGTCCCCTAGCGCTCGTCGGCATGTATTATCTCGAGAATTACCAGTTATCCAAGTAATACATTTAGCGATCAAAGGATCCATAATAGAGTTGAGCAAACCCGAACTGCAAAGTTTGGGTTTGTACCAGATTTAACAGTCCATTCGTAGTTTCACAGTCAAGTGGGAAGTCCGGTGACCAGGATCCAGACACTGACTGGGCGGCGATCGGACGATCGGGACCCAGTATGCCTGATGTTGAAGTTAGGAGTCACAGTGTGGAATGGATTAGCAGGGTAACCGCACGCCCCCTGGTGTTGAGCACCAGCGTTTGAGCGGCCACATACCCGGACCCTGATGCAGCTTCAGTAAAAAGAGTACTGGATACCAGAAGCCATCACCAGACTGATCCGCAACTTGGAACAGGATGTGACATTCACTGTAGCGGCTGTGCGCGCTTTCGGTGTTCTCACCCTGCTGCTGCTCGCCTGTCTGCGCTGCAGCGTAACTTTGGCCTTCCCGCTCACTGCTTCATATGCGTCATGCCCACAAGGTGGAACTCCACCCTGCACATGCTGGAGAGACTGTTTGAGCAGCAGCAGGCGATAATGGAGTTTCAGCTGCAGAACGCACGGGTCAGTGGTTCTGCACCAGACTTCCCTCCAATTGATCAGAGTTAAAGGATTTCAAGTGGACTCATTACAATTACAGGCCCTCTAAAGTGTCCTGTATTGTTATTTGTCGTCACTACCTTCCCGTGTTGGGAGTGGGTCATTTGCGCGCCTGCTGCCCTCCTTGCATGTGGTAGCCGTTTCTCAGGGTCCCTGTACGGAATAGAACCCTGATTCCCCGTTACCCATGGTCACCATGGTAGGCGCAGAAACTGGCATCGAAAGTTGATATGGATGACATCCGAATGCAAAGTCGCCGTCACGGGGATGTGCGATTGGCCCGAGGTTCTCTAGAGTCAACGAATATATGCGCAACTATAATGACAACAGCTACTCTGCGGAACAGAGTTGTCTTTTTTTATATGTCCCAATATTTTGGGGGCTAACCCAATTAAAAAAAATATATATATATATATAAAAAACAGTGTTGGCTACCTCCTCCTCCTCCACCGCTGCTTCCACCTACACCGCCACAGTCAGCGCCTCCTCAACCTGTGGGTCACTTAGTATAAACTATGTACACAATAGCAGAGGCTTGTGAAGGCTTTTTCTCCATGCATCAGGAGTTGTGCTCAGTTTGAACAATGATAGAGAATACCCTGCCCTCTCTCCAACCCTCTCTCAAATGGATAATTCTGGTGATCCTCCTGACAGCCATGCATTAGATTTTGATTTATGTTCTTCCAAAGCTAAAATCAAAGATTCCATCTAGTGCTATTTTATGGCTCAGTTGTATTTTAAATTTGTAGGTATTTTATGTTATTTTAAGTGATTTCCCTATCCACATTTGTTTGCAGGGCACTTGACCTACTCTTACCCACATTTTACTTCCTTTTGCAGCTCTCTAGCCCTTTGCAGGAGTTTTTTAAGAGGCATTTTTGTGCCCAAAAGTTCGGGTCCCCATTGACTTCAATGGGGTTCGGGTTCAGGGTCAAGTTCGAGCCTGAACCCGGACTTTTTTTCAAAGTTCGGCCGGACCCAGAACATCCAGGTGTCCGCTCAACTCTTCCAGTGAGGGTTGTTTCAGTAACTATATGTAAGTTAGGAATTTCTCCCTTCCTTTGTATGTAGTGTGTTTCAAAATCATTCCTCTTTCGTCTTTGAGTGGGACAGGCTACTGTAAATTGTTAAAGCCAAACATTACCACAGGCTAATACAAGCAACAACAAAAAAACACATTATATTATCACTAGAGGTGGCTATAGAGTTGATAAGGTCTTCGGCAAAACTAAAACAAAAAAAAATACCCTGGTTGATACTCACTGTGACAGCAAGGATACAAGAGAGGCAAGACTACAGCATGATGCCTTAAAAGGTCACCTAACTAATCGAGAGGCAGCTCTATAGTTAGGCCAGGGCACTATTCAATCTAAGCATTTGTTGGCAACCATCTTCCCCAACAATCCATATATTATTTTGTTCCTATTACAGGAAGACTGAGGGACAAGAGGGGCAATAGTCCAGTATTATACAAGTATATGCTGGGGCCAGTGACCCTGATTGCAGGTCTCCCCAGGCATGTACAGGTTCACTGGACTGTTTCTCAGGAGAGTGCAGTATATAGGGCAGTCTGGGCAATCAAAGTATAACATATCTCCTAACATTGGTAGGTATGAATTATCATAACAGTGGATGGGCAGGCCTTTTGAGGTGTACCAGTGGCACTAGGACAGACCATTCACAGAGCTATGTTTGTACTTGACCCCAAACCAAAAGTTGCTATTCATCACCCACCCTTTATGCGGTTACAGGATGATCTCCAGTACCTTTATATTGCCACATGGTGGCACTAACTACTAGAAATACAAAGACAAAACTGCTTTCATCAGGTAGCCTATTTCATTGGCATCTCACTGCCATCCCTTTCCACACGTGTGAGGTGTGATACTGGGACAGGTTGTTTCAAACTATTAAATGTTGCAATGTCTCCATCATCATTAGAACTACAAATCACGGATCAATTCTGTTAAAATGTGCAAATTATCACAGATTTTATTTCTTTTTAGATCCATACCAATAATGATCCCTAAATCAATTATAACAAATTTTCAGACAACAATAAATGCTCATATTTGGAAACGCAAACCCCCAAGAATATCACTGAATACAATGAGCTGCAAAATGGCAGGGTGGATTGGGAGTACCACATTTTCAAAAATATTATATAGCTTCCATACTGGCACAAACAGCGGCACTAATAGATACATCTAGTATACCCCTATGGCATATATTAGAACAATCCATTGTTCCACAATATGAGATATTGGATCTCATTTGGACAAAACATCGCGCTCATCTTAGAAACTATAATTCCCTATCCACAACACAAATATCTCTGAGGTTGTGGAGTTACTGGGCCCCTAAACTTCTGGGGAAAGGCAATTATTTTTACTATGGAACTCTGCAAAGTTTAACTTACTATACAACAGGGGCGTACCTAGAGCATTTGGCACCCGGGGCG